CCCCCCCACACTTAGTCTACGTATTGTCTTCAATGTAAGGTAAAAAGAAAAGGTGGAAATAACTTAACTATAAAAACAAGAAGAGAAAAAAAGAAAAGAAAAAATCATGGGTGGGTTTAAATCTGATGTTTTCCCCTTTCATTCATCATGGGTGGGTTTAAATCTGGAATAGGGTCCTACACAATAGATGGAAGGAGTTTTGTGTGAGCTGGAGGTGTTTCAATGGAAGGTCACAATTTCTTGGTAGAGGTCGGTCCATCCAATGGTAAAAATTTTCCTTGTCTTTGATTGCACCCTTCCTGACCGGCCTCCAAATAGTTCAATACCTCCTTAACTTCCTCATCCAAGACCTGCATGTTTTTACAAGAATTAAGAATGCAGCTTTCTAAAGGATCATCTAATTTAGATGTGATAATTTCAGCTGCCCAAACATCAATGCAATCGATTGCATATATTTCATGTTCAATTGTGTTGGGATATTTAATGGTTTTAAGTACATTAAACACTTCTTCACCATTGATTCTAAGAGTAAGTAGACCTTTTGCACATCAATTAAAGCATTACCAGTAGCAAGAAAAGGTCTCCCTAAAATCAAAGGCATTGTCCTATCTTCCTCCATATCCAACACAATGAAGTCAGTAGGAATAATAAAATTGCCCACTCTGACTAAAACATCTTCTACTATTCCCCTAGGATATTTAATGCTTCTATCAGCTAATTGCAGGGTAATAGTAGTAGGTGTTAGTTCCTGCAATCCATGTTTTTCAAAAATAGAATATGGCATTAGATTTATACTGGCACCTAAATCGCATAAAGCTTTCTCAAACTCAATATCTCCTATGGTGCAAGGAATAGAAAAACTCCCTGGGTCCTTGGGCTTTGGGGGCAATTTATTTTGATGAATTGCTGAGCACTCTTCGTTTAGTTTCACCATTTCTCATTCCTCCCATTTCCTTTTATTTGACATCACCTCTTTCAAGAATTTGGCATATTTTGGCATCTATGACAATACATCAAGAAGAGGAATGATAATATGTATTTTTCTAAACACCTCTAAAAATTTTTCAAATTGTTTATCCAAGTTAGCTTTCAAAACTCTTTTAGGGTAGGGGAGAGGAAGTTTAATGGCATCTAAATTTAGTTTAGGTGTACTCCCTTCGATCTCCATTTGTGAATCGTCTACCTCAACTTTTTGATCATCATCCTTGATCTCGCCAATAGTCCTTCCACTTCTCAAAGTAATTGCCTTGCAATGCTCCTTGGGACTTGAAGGGAGGTGATATCCATCGTATGGACGCTTGAATCTTGCGGAATAGAATGGGCAAATTTCAAAAATTTCTCTTCATCCTACTTGAAATCATATTTCCTATTTTAGAAAAATCATATTTTTCAAAGATCAATCTTGAACCAAGAACCGAACCAGATCTGAACAAAAACAATAGGAGAGGGATATACCTGATACAAAGAAATAGTATCTCCCAATGGAGGTGTTCACGCCCAAGGAAGGAACCAAAAACTGCTCCCACTGAAAATGGCGCAGTGTAGGATGGAGCAGAATCAGCAACGTTCTTCACAAGAACCAGATCCTTCACAAGAATCAGCTGGATGGCACGTGAGCACTACTTCCAATCAGCCCTTTCACAAAGGACTGATATCAAGATCCAATCTTGATCATTCCTACTAACAAGAGGAGATAGAACTGGCAAATTTGGATCAGGAAACTCCTAATTAGATTAAGAGGGCTGATCTTTATCTGCAGATAAGATAAGGGATTATCCTTATCTCTTAAAGAGAGTCCAGATCCAAATACAAGATTTGGATTAGGAAACTCCTAATGGGATTAGGAAATGCTCTCTTTAAAGGCTATAAATAGAGGAGCAGGGAGAACCTCCAAAATATAATTCTCAGTTCAGAGATTACAAAGAGAGAAGAACATGTAGTTCGATTGCTGTTGTCTTCTACTCTTTCCTGCTCTTGCCGCCATACCAGTTTGATCTCCACCTGTGGGAGTGATCAAGAAGTGTTCTTGATATTACCTTTTGGCAGAAAAGGTAATCAGAAGTCTTGCTCACTGGCCCTCCATCAGATTTTTGCTGAAGAATTAGGTTCTTGCTGAAGAACCATCCTACTGATTCTGCTTCATCATGCACCATGTCATCTTCGGTGGAAGCAGTCTTTGGATCTTTCTTTGGGCATGAACACCTTCATTGGAGGTTATTGTTACTTCGTATCAGGTATAACCCTCCACTCCCTTTTTGGGTTCAAATCTAGTTTGGTTTAGGTTCAAGATTGATCCTTGAAAATGTAGTTTTCTAAAATAGGGAATGTGATTCTCACGTGGGAGAGAGAAATTTTTGAAATTTCGCCCAACCTTCCTGTAGTGTTCGGCCATCCATATGATGGATCTCTCATCCCATCAAGGCCTAGCTCAAGAAGTTTGAGGGTCAAAGGAGAGATCTAGAGACTACTACCTCTGATCGGATTCTCAGACATTTTTGTTTTGTTCCTTTTATGTATTTGTTTCTGTTATTTATTTATTTTTATGCACTTGTTATTCCCAGTACTGTTCGAATTTGGTTTTAATGAATTCCATTTTTAATTAATTAATTTTATATTTCTGCAACTCCCTTTAGCGTTCTCTCTCCCGGATACTACCCGTTCTCACCCATTTACTGTGTTAGTATTTGTTTGAGAGTTAGAATAAAATTATAGATGTTTAAACTGGTGTTCTGAAGTGTTTAACGACGCACTTCTGGACACACCAAGTTTTTGGCGCTATTTCCGAGGAAGCATGGCAAAATATTTTTATTTACTTTTTCCGGATCTGTTTCATTATTTTTTCTTTTTTGTTTTATTACTTGATCTGTTATTTCAGTTTAATTCTTATTTCTCTTTGATTCTGTAGGATAGAATAGCGAAAGGTGGGGTAATAGAGCATTGCGGGACTACGGAACGGAAGAGAAGAGAACAGAAATTGGATTGTGTTTCAGGTGTAGTTGAAGGGAGGAGAGATCCATCCTATGGACGCCCAAAGATTGCGGAATAAGGGGCGAATTTCAAAAATTGTCCCCAAGTAGAGTGTGACTTCTCCTTCACTCAGCCTTCTGCTTACCTTGAACCCCTGCAGTGAGTTACACGCATGAGTTGAAGCCCCGGAGTCAATACACCAGGACGCAGAAGCTAC